CTGGAAATGCAACGCCCAGCGTAATATAAAGGACGAGATTGCTAGGGAATTTGCTTATATTTTTGCTGTCGATACTTCATTTTTCGCTTTTCGATACTTCATTGCTTTGCAATGTCAACTTCAAACATTGTAAAAAGTGTATCTGTGTTTTTCCGATCCTAAATTTTCCCATTTATGTAGGTTTTTCAAGAGTAAAAAGCTCTTCAAATATTTTTGTGACTATCAAGGAAAGTTAAAAGTAAACTCTCAAGGAAGATTATATAATTACTTCAAATGTTTTCTCTAAGGTAGTGTTGTGAATTGTTGCAAGGACATCTGTCTATAATACTGGATAAACATTTATTGAACATTTGTTTCAAGTTTCAATTGCATTATTTTCTATTTTTTATCGGTATTCTACAACTGTACTAGAAATTAGCTTTATACATTTTTTTAAAACAAGTAAACACGTTTCGTTAACAACTTTCCTCCTTAGTGTGGAAATGAAATTATAGAGAAGAGGGTAGGGTTTAATGTGCGAGAGCTCTTGCACTGGTAAGCTAGTTTTATCTTGTTTCTTGAAGCGAAGTTTTAACATACTCACCCGGACTCGCGTTAAACGTGCAATAGAGTACGGACCTAGAGCTAGTGATCTTGAATTTATGAAGAAATGTTCTCCAGGATGAAACCATTTATGCACTAGTGCTTCTACAGAATGGCACAGACTTTTTCGCACTAGTTAGTGTCCTTATCTCTTTAGTCCGTTACTCTGGAACAGCAGCGAAAATTGTACCCGTAAGATTTCGGTCGTAAAAGATTCTCTCGAAAGTGCACCACAAGCAGCCCGAAGAAAAGTCAACCACACAACTTCTTGGTTTGTCGAGTGAAAATGAATGTTGAATTGAATAAAAAGAACATAATAAATGCTTTGTCAGATTACATATCCACTGTTTGGGAAAGAAGTTTTAATAGTTACTAATTTATATTAAAAAGACAATCTAAAATGAATTTTATGTTTCAAAGGGTATGTTTTAACAAGCTGAGTTTGATGTTCCCCATTTGGAGATGGATTCTATTTCAGTTGTTGAAGATAGTTTGCAAATTTCCCACAAAAATATTTGGACCGAGACATTTCTAAAAAACAATACTTGATATTGAAACAATTTTTGTTCATTTTAAAAATCAGTTACTTAATGTGTTAAATAAATCACTTAATATATGATCTTTACAAAACATGTCAACAATTGCCAATGATGACGCTATTCACATATATTTGTATTTTAAACTTCATTTTAATGGAGAAAAGAATCTTGAATTCTCTCAAACTACGTGATAAGATTTTTTTTACTGCTTGTCGGTGAAAATGTTTCGGTGAAAATTTGTGTTTCATTTCTTAGATGAAAGCAAAATAAGCGAAATAATACTTTATAGTACAAAATCGAATTGCGTCAGTTTAGAATATTCTTTGTCATATTATTATCGTTCGTCAAAGTATGCACAAATTCGTTTCATTTTCTGAACTTCCTTGTAATACATCCACCTTCAAAACACGTCGTTTTTCCTTTTCATTTTTTGTTTGTTTTCCAATAAAAAGCTCGCCCCTAAAAGTTGTAACAATTTATTGGAGGGCCTCTATATTGCTTGGAGACTCAGGGCGCAAGGGATGTTGAGCCCGCTTTATGCCCCTGCTCGCTCATCTTTTTTTATTTTCATTTTAAAAACTCACCGACGAAGGGCCCGGCTATAAAAAGGGGTTCGCTGCACGCCCCCCCCTACTACAGTCGTGGAGTAGTATACTTCGTCACCCTCAGAGGCCAGATCAGGGCGGCATCACTGTGTTCTGTTCCGTTCCGTTCCATTCCTTCTGCTCCCGCCTCGCCTAATACCGCAGCTTCGCCGTCGCATCGCCAACGCTCCGCCCAATTCTTCGCCCCACGCTTCGCAGTCTTTTCGCTCGTTCCCCTTTTCGATCTTTTCCTTCATCACTTACTTATTTCCGCTCTTATTTCATGCGTCTAGTCTAGACTGGTCTGGGTTGTGGGACTCAAACGGTCACCAAACGCCTTGGACCCAAGACGTTTATTATTAAAACACATGTCTTTGCACTAAGCAAATTCTTGAAAAGAATAACGAAATGTTCTCACAGCGACGACCAGCTTCATGGAGCTAGAATTTTTTTCCAGAGAGCTGCTGATTTTGACTTACCTATGTAGGTAGTGTCGAATCGTCTGCCACTGTGGGGAGTGCAACCCCATTACCCCACGTTCAGAGGCACTAAGGGGCGTCAGTCCGAGGGCGGGTGTGAGGGTGCGGCGGTGGCCGCGGGGGCGGGGCGTGTGTCTGTAGGGGTGGCGCGGGCGGACGAGGGGGAGAGTCGGAAGCGCGCGTGCAAATAGCTGTCGCTCTTTAACCGGTTGTAAACTCCAACCACGCCTCGCCCCATCTCGCTCCACTCCGCCCCACCCCGCCCTTCTCCGCCAATCCCCACCCCGCCTTCCTTACCCCGCCTCGCTCCGCCTCTCCACGCCCCTCCACGCCCCTTCACGTCCCTCCGCCGCAAAACCGCAGTGGTCGCGGCAAATTCGCAGTGGGTGCGGCAAATGGGCAGTGGGCGCGCCAAATTAGCGGTGAGCGCGTCAAATTCGCAAAGGGCGCGGTAAATTGGCAGTGGTGGCGGCGAATTCACAGTTAGCGCGTCAAATTCGCGGTAGGCGCGTCAAATTCGCGGTAGGCGCGTCAAATTCGCGGTAAGCGCGGCAAATTCGCGGTGAGCGCGGCAAATTCGCGGTGGGCGTGGCTAATCCGCGGTGAGCGCGGCATATTCTAAGTGGACACGGCAAATTCGCAGTGGACGCTGCAAATTCGCGGTGGTGGCAGCGCATTCACAGTTAGCGCGTCAAATTCGTGGTAAGCAAGGCAAATTCGCGGTGGGTACGGCAAATTCGCAGTGGGCGCGACAAACCCCGGTGAGCGCAGCAAATTCGCGGTGAGGGCGGCAAATTCGCGGTGAGGGCGGCAAATTCGCGGTGAGGGCGGCAAATTCGCGGTGACGGCGGCAAATTCGCGGTGACGGCGGCAAATTCGCGGTGAGAGCGGCAAGTTCGCGGTGCGCGCGGCGAATTCGCAAAGGTCGCGTCAAATTCGCGGTAATCGAGGAAAAGTCGCATTCCGCGAATTTGCCCCGCCATCCGCGAATTTTTGCGCTTACCGCGGATTTGTCGCGCCCACCACGTTTGAGTCGGCTGGTGGCTGGCTGGTGGCGAGTGAATAAAAAATCTCCGGGGCCGGCTACGAGCGTGCGCATAAACGGGGAATTATCAGCTGTTGCGCGCCCCGCCCCCTCTCTTGCCGCACCCACCCCCTTCGCCCTTGCCCTTCATTCAGCACGCCCCCGCGTGAGCAGGGCGGTTCGGAGTTAATGGTACACATCACGCAGTCATGAAATCGATCGACGTCCTCCTCTAATTTTCTTTTTGCCTTTTATTTTCCTCTTTTACGTACTTCTATTTAGTTCTTCTGTCTTCTATTTTTTTATCGGTTATTTTCTGTTAGTTTTTTCTATTTTAGTAATTTTTCCCGTCGACTTGGAGAAAATGCTACACTTCAGTTATCGCGCGACGTTTTTTTCTTCTATTTTCGTTTTTCTTTATTTGTTTTTTTCTTGTCTCTTTTGTTCTTCTTTTAGTTAGTCTTTCTTCTATTTTTTCTTTTATTTTATATTTTTATGTTTTTGTTGTCTTTCTCGGCGGCTCGGAGTAAATACTACCCATCACAGTCATGAAATTGGTCGTAGTCTTTTTCTTCTTTCTATTTTATTTTTTGGTCTCTTTTCCTGTTCTTCTTTCTTCTATATTTCGCATTATCGATTGTTTTCTATTTATCTTTTCTATTAATTTTTCTTTTTCTCGACGCATCCACATCACAGTCATGCACGCGGGTCTCCTTCCTTTTTCTATTCATGACTATCTTCTTTTGCATTCTCTCTTCTTTCTTTTATTTGTTCTTTTCCTCTTTTTAGTTCATCTCATCCTCCTATTTTTCTGTTGTTCAGTTACTAGCAAAATACCCGCGGTTTCTTACTCATTTATCTGAAAGAGGTGAAACACCAGTTTTATATAAAACACGGTGTTTAATTCGTTGACATTTTAATTAAATACTATAATTTTATTTTACTTTACAGTTATTTCACTTTACAATACTATGCATTGTTCAAAACACACATGAGGGTACTCAACACAAATAGATCTGAAACTGAGCAGTTACTCACCAAAAGATAGATTGCTGAAGATAAGAGCGCGTCATTTGCGCATATTCCTTTCTCGCTACGGAGTGGATATCTTATTGTAATATCTTATGTAATTCAGCGCGAAAAAACTGCAAATTTTGTGCAGAAAAACTCTTATTACAGGACCATGGTATCGAAACTTTGGATAAATACAGTTGTTTAATTTAGAAAAAATCCTCTAACACGTGGTATAGCCAAAATCCATGTTCTGTTACTCCTTGATACCGAAAAATAGAATGAGGGCAAAACGTCTGATTGATATTCCTCAAAGGATGTCGCTTGAAATCGATATTTTAATTTTGGGAGATTCTTTGCATGAAACAGCTAGGTCATTTTAAAAAGAATGGCTCCATCATTTTTCTTTAAGTTTAGTTGTTGGTTACTGTGAAGGAGGTTTCAGAGAATTGTACAGGTCTCTTGTTCGTTAAAAACGCTTATTTTTCAAAAATTGCTAAAGTTCAGACTTTTTCGGCGTCTTCTTACAACTAAAATATTGAAGATATATATTTTTTTCTTAATGAAATTGTTCTTTAATGATGGTTTTTTAAACAAGGTCATGTACAATTTGTAAAATTCGATTACTTTCCGCGCAATTTTTCGTGAAAATACGGGCGAGAAAGTACTGCTGATTTAGCATCACTAGATATTTGAAGGGATTGCTTTCAAAAATCCGAGAAAGAAGTAATAGCTTTTTTATTCATATCATCCATTGTCTGTGGTGTCGCAGCGCGTCGAAATGTCTTGCCAGCACAGAAGCGGCAACCACGATGAGGGTGCGTTCTGCAGCGATCGTTGCTCTGGATACGACACAGCAGGCAGCTCCAGGCGAACTTCAATCCACTGGCTAAAGAGCCCTTGCTCAGTCCATGTGATACAGGGCCTCGTCTCTCTCAAATTTGTCATATATTGTTGGCAAACCATTTAACTTGTTGAACTTAGAACAACAAATAATAACTATCTAGTTATAACAATTGCGACACGAATTGCACAGGGATGTATAGAAAAGGTCGTGCTAAATAATCTCCGCTAATATTACTAAGATTTGTGGCCCAGAAAATACTAAATCTTTTCACATTGTGTATCTGTGTGCCAAGCGTTCGCTTGACGTCAACATTTACTAAAATTTTTCCAAAAAGTGAAGAGCGTGTCAATATTTATCAAAATATGACAGCATTGCAAACGCAAGTTGATAGCACATCGAAAGCGATGTTGACAGCGAATCGATACGTGTCAGTACGTAACCCAGAAGAAGGGAGAGGGTGATTTGGATTTCGTTTTCTTCGGGAAAGTCACTTGATGGGGTGTTATTTTGACGAAGTTAAAATCCTGCCTCCTCTAACATCTCTATTGTGACGTTAATATCGTTCAGTGATTGCGATATTCGCACTAAACAAATCAGGTGTTGAGATAACTCACTTTGAAGTTTTCCTCTTGTGTTGAAATGCATCATTATTGCACTCACACTTCTGCCATTTGTTAGTGAAATACTGTATTGTAAGAGACTTTTGCTGCTGAAAAGTAGAGCAATTTGCAATTCTAGAGAGTGGTTCAACTCAAAATTCGTTTTTTTCAGTTGAGCACTGTTACAGTCCACGAGTGATATGTTTATCGGTCACATGCTATTCAACCTCAGTCTACATGCAACCCTACAGGTTTGTTACGTGCACTGCATACCTGAATGTTGAGAAATTTAACATCCTTAGCAACGTAAAGAACAACCATCGATTCATAGTCAACTGTTGGTTAAGAAAAAACATGGCGATGCACAAAACAAATCATATACAAATAAATCAGAAAATAGGGAACTCTTAGTACTTTTGGGGATAATTGTTCTTAATTATAATATTAATAGTACAATTAGAAAAATTTATATTACATAAATTGAATGGGTGAAAACCAGAACGGTATAAGTGACATTGCATAAATTCAGAGAAATCTGTTTATTTAAATCAATATTACTGTAAAGTCGTGTTGCTTTGTTTTAGAATTAAAACCACGGCCTTACAATTTTTCATTAAAACCAAGAAAATTAATTACCACTGAAATATAGCCTACAATAAACACGTTTTTCTCATAATTATGGGATGTCACTTATACCGTCTGGTTTTCACCCATTAAATTAGCATAATTAGATTGTGCATCTCCGCATTGAATAATAAACCCAAAATGAAGTTGCGTTATGGGCCTGCGGCTTTATGAAACAAAACGTAAGAAAAAGGTTTTTTTTAAGGAATAAGTATAAATTATCTAACCAAGTTCTTAAAATTAGCAAGCATTTCAGCTTCAGTAATCACGTCAACGTTATTTTGCGTTTGTCATTTCTTTCGGTGCAATCCAGAAGAATTATTCTGATCCATCTCCCTCGAACCGCGATAAAGGAAAATTGTTTAAATATATATCGCAAATATCGCTTTAAAATATGTATTGACGTGCCGCAGCAACATAATTCATTTGTTTACTATGGGAGAAATGTAAATTTTCGCTTAAATCGTGAGATTTTATGGTGACCGATAAAATGCTTCACATACCCCGAAACGTTAATGTTATTCCTCATCTAAATTTAAAATCTCGGCTCCGCTACGCTCTGTCTCTATTTTTAACCTGCATACATACTTACAGACATTACTTACATAAATACGCACACATGCATATTACATCTTAAAACAATAAGAACTACTCCAAATTGTTATGCCATAGAAGGAATGTTAGAAGAAAATAGTACAATTATTTAAGTAACTACATTACAAATAGTACAAAATAATATACTGCAGATACTGAAACGTTGCTTCTGCCAATCATAATAGTGTATAATGTTGCCAAAAGTGACCAAATTATTTATGTTTTAAATATTACTTTTAAACGGCCACGAAAAAAGAACAGTTACAATATACCAGATCAATGATACTGCAACAGGTTCCCATGATACAGTATCATGTATCTGGTATACTGCAACTGTTTTTTTCCTATTTCTACCAAACATTATTTATTTAAATTGTTTTTAAATTTAGTGAACAAGGGTTACCGAAACAGTATTTGAGTTAAGCAATTCTAATCTCGTATCGTACACAAATGCGAACTTCTCTACATGTCTGTTGCTTTTTCTCAAGAATTTTATCCGAATACTTGTGGTTATTTTTGCCATTTGTAGCCCGCTTTTAGTTTCTTCATATGATTTGCCCTTCCCGACATACTCCGTAAGAAATCGCTCTTGCGCTGCGACGCCAAAAACTGACAAAACTTTCTACACACGCGCCTGTTTGCTTCTCGTCGATGTCCTCCCTTTTTCGTCGCGAGGTTTTCCTCCATTTTTTCATTTTGTGCCGACTGCTGCGGTGAGTTCCCGTGACTGGAACGCGCACGATGCGCGCCGACTGACGCTTAATGAAATTTCTCTCGAAACTCGGACGTTTTCGCGCCAAAGTTGTTACGGATCCAATTTTAGCACTTTTTGTAAAACGGCTTTGGGCGGAGAATTTTGAATTCTCTTTTCGCGAATGAGGCCCATATGTGTGTTATCTCTGCGGTTGAAATGATTCATTTAATACACTTTCAGAAAAAGTCGAATGAAATGAAAAAAAAGATAAAAAAGAAACGAAAATTATACGAGACATTTCCCGTGAGATTTGCTCTTGAAACCAATTAGTAAACTTCTAAATGGTTCCATGCTCAAATAACTGCTCTTGATGAATGAAATTTCCTTCGGGAACTGTATAATGGCTATGCAAAACTGAGACAATTATATTTCTTTGCGTTTTAAGTATTCTCGTTCGTGAGTATATTTTATGTGAAAAGGCAGAGGTTAGTAAATATTGGTTGCCAGAGAAATATGGCAAATAATGACTGCGCATTCAAGAATTTCAATTGCAGTTTTACTTGTGTAGTGTTTCCATTTTCCTCGTAACATTTCAATGCCGTATTTATGAAGTTTCTATGAAATTATTTGAATGATGGAGATGTGAAACATGGAGGAAGCCTAGCAAAAACACTGAAAACAAGATACTGTAGGAAAATTAAAGATGAAAATGCTTTAAATAACATGAAAGAAGCGAAATACAGCATGTAATGTAATGGAGGGATAGATATAAATTACAGTAGAACTATGTGAAAAATTGTCCATGTGCGCATAATTGCACGGTAATACATTACTTACCCAATGCACCAATCTTGTTGAATGCGGACAAAATACTGGTCCCATGAGATTTCTTATTGAGCGAATTGTACTGTATTTAGAAAATGTATAACGAAAGGTGTGCGTAAAATATATGAGAAACCGTGATCTATCAGAGAAAATCTTTCATTCACATGCAAATATTACAGTGAATTTTATTCTTTCCCTTCCTTTGACTGTTCAGTGCGGTTCAGCAATTAGGAAGTTAATATTGCCAGAAAAAGCTTTTGAAATATTATGGCAACTATTAGAGTCACAGAAAATGCAAAACCATGTAAAATGTGTTATATAATTATTTGGCGATCTAACAATGTTAGAGAAAATGGAGATAATGAGTTAATGAATCAGTGAAAATAAGTAATTAGAAAATGAAACGCAGCAACATCACCTGTTCGAAACTTGTTTTGTCTTCGAATTATGAAGCGAACAACATCTCCACCGTTTTGAAACAGTTTGTCTTCAAATTATAAAGTGAAGCAAGATCCCCACCTTTTCGAAACTTTTCTTCTTTCAATTATGAAATGAAGGAACATCTCCACATTTTGGAAACATTTTGTCTTCAAATTGTAAAACGTACCAAAATTTTCACGTGTTAGCAACCTTTTTATCTTCAAAATATGAAACGATGCTATGGCTCTACCGTTTCAAGAACTTTTCTTTCATCGAATTATGAAACGAAGTAACATTTTCACTTTTTCGAAAATGCGTTTCTCTTCAAATGCAACCTTTCCACTTTTTCAAAATCTTTTTTTTCCTCGGATTGCGAAAGGAAACGTCTTCAACTTATGACACGAACCAACATTTCCACCTTTCCGTCTTCGAATTATAAAACGAAGCAACGTCTCCACCTTGTCGAAATCTTTTTGTCTTCGAATTGCGGAAAGAAGCAACTTCTCCACCTTTACACCTTTTTTTGTTGTTGAAATTCTGAAACAAAGCAACATCTCCATCTTTTCAATAACCCTTTTCTCTTTTAATTACGAATGGAATCAACATCCCCACCTTTTCGCAACCATTTTCTCCTCGAATTACGAAACCTATTCTAAAAAAAAAAAGAAGAACATTCCCACCTCCCCGAAACCTTTCTTTTTTTGTCTCCAAATCGAGGCTGCCGTTGCCGTCTCGGCCCCCTCACCTGCCTCCTTTTGAGCTCCCAGCGCCGCCAGGGCCTCCTGGATGCGTCCCCTCGCCACGGCCCCCCGCCGCCCGCCCGCGCTCGAAAATTGCGGTTCATATTCCCCGGGAGGCGGGCGCCCGCCCGCCTGCCTGCCCGCCCGCCCGCGCCGTATATTACTCGCGCCGCGGAGAGAGACGAGGGCGAGATACCGCCCAGCCACGCACCGAGAGGGAGAGAGAGAGAAAGAGAGAGAGGAAGGGAGAGAGAGACGGAGAGCGAGGTCGAAATGAGGACGGGGACGCCGCTTGGCGCCGCACCGTTTTATTTCGACGAGCGAGCCACGCGAGAGGACGGCGCGGCGCGGGGTTCCTTCGAAGGCGAATAACAGTCGTGAAAAATCTGATTCTTCCTTCCTCGCGGACACTTCGCCCGCGCCGCTTCCTGCGGGCGAGGGCAGTGGGGCCAAAGGGATGGGCGAGAGGGCGAAATTGCAAGAGGTCCCACAGTGACGGGTTTGCGTCAAGATGGCTGGAGTTTAATCAAAGAGTTAAAATCAAACAATCAATTAAAGACTCCACAAAAACCCAAAATTTAGGGGGAACCCCTCAAGTGGCAACACTGCTTCGTTGTGCGGGGCGACCAACGAGCTGAATTATACTACTCCATGTATTGGCTGACCCAATGGTTTCAGCGCTCTTAATGGTCGCTCGCCGAACTAGGGTCGCCATTTTTTTGCAGTGGTAACGTGAAAGGTGCCTGAGGGTGGCACATAGAGCGGTTGTACTGAATGGGAATGCTAATTCATCAGATTTTATTTCTATATTGTTATCTTTTCGTTTATATTATTTAAATTGCATTCGTGGTTAGAATAATATTATTCACAACGCCTTCGGTGTGCTCGGCTTATAAAAATAGAAGTCAGCAAATCGCAAATCATGTTTCATGTTTGTCGCCTTACTTGTGGTCTGTTTGCTTATTGCAGTAACATTCATTTTCAGACGTTATGCTAACCGCAATAACATTTCAACAGCTTCCATTCTTATAACAATAACCCATTCAGGAAGGAACGTTTTCTCAAAGTAACTCAATTCGTTCTCCTTACATATTGTGATTACGTTTTAAATGACTGGTTTTTGGACGTGGAACAGAGTAAGATGATTTATATTACGCGCGGCCCCTCGCTCATACAGCCTTCACCAGCGCCAAACGGAATACTAGAAAACTTCGTGTCTCCAGAGGACTGCAAAAAGCTTGCGATGGTGAGATGACGATGGTGAGATGACGATGGTGAGATGACGATGGTGAGATGACGATGGTGAGATGACGATAGTGAGATGACGATGGTGGGGTGGCGATGGTGGGGTGACGATGGTGGGGTGGCGATGGTGGGGTGGCGATGGTGGGGTGGCGATGGTGGGGTGGCGATGGCGGGATGATTCAATTTACTGCAAAGATGGAGGCGCTTCAGCCACTCTGTGTGGTACACTGTAGCTCGTTGCGGGCGGCCCACTGTGCGTGTCGCGGGGCGGCGCCGGCGCACCCGTTTTATTAGCCGCTGGTCGTCGGTGCGCGGCGGGCGGCGTTGTCACATGGTCGTGCGTGCGCCAGCCCATTCGGGGCAGGCAGAGCTGTGGCTGAGCGGGCGCTTCGCCCAAATGGGGCGGGGGTGGAGCGCCACCGCGGCGTTGGCGGAGGGCGATCGGACGTTCTTGCTCCCGCGCCACGTGCATCAACTGCTCTCACGCCAGTGCCTCTGGCCGGGAAGTCCTAGGCTTCCTCTCCCCACGGTAGTGGGATTTTCGACACTACCTAAATAGCTAGGTCGATTTCAGTCGCTGTCCGGAGCGGAATTCGAGCGGCCGGCTGCTCTGATCGGTAGTTTTCCGTGGTTTCTCTCATCAACACCAGGCGAATGCTGGAGTAGCACCCTAACAAATGGGCCACGGACCGCGCACGATCTTTCCTTCCTCTTCCTTGTCATATCCTCACCCCTTACACTAGCATGCACCACACTCCACACATGGCGGGAGACCGGTGGGTAGCTTAGAGCTCTTCCCGGCTGTGATAGTTAAGATCAACACCAGGCGAATGCCGGAGCAGTACCCTAACAAATGGGCCACGGACCGCGCGCCATCTGACCTTCCTCTACCTTGTCCTATTCTGTTCCCTTACACACACACACGCACACAGACACATACGCTAACAACATGCCCTACACTACCACACATGCCGGGAGACCGGGCGGGAGCTGAGAGCTTGTTCTTGCTGGGGCGGTGCCCCGCTGGTGGGAGATACCTGGTTGAGGAAATCTTGCTAGCCGTCGGTCGGTCGGCGCGGGTTATCGCCATCCGGCGGGGGAAGATCAACGACACCTACCGAGGAAAAAACATTCCCTACACTTACGGGACTAATGTCCCTAATAGTTGACGCGCCTAGGATCACTCACAATCAATCAATCGTGAAAATGACAGGTGACGATGTGAAACGAGACGTTCTGTTGACTAGTATCTCAACGAATGAACTGTATTGGTGATAAGTTCATACTGTTATTGTGACAATCGTCGGGCCACTATGGAAGGGTGACGATGGTGGGGGTGACGATGGTGGAAGGTGACAATGGTTTTATTGGGAGAAGAATATTTAAAGAACTGTTACACAAATTTCGAGAGAAATGTTTTATTTCTATCACAATTTTAAATCGTGTACATTTCATACTACCTTCTCATTATAATTTTTCGTTGCCGCCAAATAAGATATAAGACAATTAACAACATTCCATTATAATTCATGTACTCTATAAAAAAATAGAGCAACAGATGGCAGGTTGACGGTGATCTCGGAACGATTGTGTTGATCGTCAGGGTAAACACTTTGAACGAAAACTACTCTATTTAATAAATGTCACTTTTACCAGACAAATAATAAATACATTTAGTTTCTTTTAAATTTGATTAATTTTGAATTCACCGATAAATCACTCTCGTAATTTTTCACATTTCTTTCGGGTTTTCTGTAACTGGAATTTCGAGTAAAGTGAAATTCATTATGGATGTCATCTTACTCTGGTAGATAGTAATCTTAAGATTCTGTATAATGAAGACGGACTACAATTCTTTCAGATGAAATGGTTGAGATTATCTTTTACATGCAATAGTATTAATGGATAAATAATATTGCTGATAATTGAGAGTGATTTCACTCGGCGAAAATGCATAGGAGAAATTATTTTATCAAATGTACTAGAATCTTTTATTTCATAGCCGTTTATCTATTTAGTATTTTATTTCAGGCCCGAAAAGTCGTGAACTCTGTGACGTGGTATGGAAGAAAAGTGTAATCTGCCAACGTTTGTTTTAGCTTTATATGCCCTTCCCTAATTCCTATAATAATTTTTTAGTTAATTATATAGGTAGCAAAGAGTGGTTTGGCAAAAATTGATAATAAATAATTGGTGACTTTGTATTAAAAACGAATCGCCAAGGTAAATCAGCTAGAGATTCGGGCTCCTTGCTGTACTGCGAATGTAGAATTGCATTATACACTATCCTATTCAAATAGTTTTTTAATATTGTGAAATAAAGTTGGTCCATTTAGATACTGTACATACCGATGAACTGAGCAGGAAAATGAAGTGGGAAAACTTGAAAAGAATGCAATGACACAACTTATGTTGCGGAATGAAAGTGTTGCCTGACCGGTTTGCTGCGTTGTTTCAGGAAATTCACTGATTCCTTTTTTGTCAACACAATGCCAGCAAATGACGGAGATTTTCTGGAGAAATCTCCTTCCTGAATATGCTGTTCGTAAACTCGTTATTCAAATTAATGAATCATTTCCGAGAAATAGCGACTGGGTCTTATTGCCTGGCGCCCAATTCGGCTAACCCGTCGAGTGGATACGTAGAACGGGTTGCGTTCGTCAGAATGTCAGGGGTTCTAGGCCACCTTATGTAGAAAATTACGAAAGTAACAGATTTGCTAGAGAATAACCAAGTTAAATGAATAAATTAATGAATTAATGTAGGAATAAAAATAACCTCCACTGAGAGAACGTTAATTTTTCTGATAAATTATCAGTATTTTAGTACATTTATAACGTACATTTCTTTAAGTTCTATAATGTTAAGTTAGGGTATTCTGCCACCAAGTTCTCAAATTTAATTGCAGAGTTAGAAATAAATATAATCTAAAGTTCAATCTGATCTTGTGTTTGCTCGGCCTTCGCCGTGCTTTTAGTTGACTTCGTGTCGGGTTAAAAACCAAACACAGGTCAATTCAAAATACGTGGGAATTTAGAATTTTTCTTACGATCCTACGTGTGGTCCTAATAACATATTTTTCCTTTTATTATTATTATTATTATTATTATTATTGATTATGTTGATGTTGTTGTTATTCGTGGTCCTTGCGGAATTTTCCCCTTTTAAAATTTGACTAGCATTCGTGTGGTATTACTTGTGATCGTCTGCACAAGCAAGCACTAGAACGACACAAAGAAGAGCGAGAGCGAGAGCTGATTCGCGTGTGGTGGTGTTGCAGGCGCTGTGATGGTGGACGCGTGCTCGCAGCGGGAGTCGTCGTCCTCTTCCTCGTCCTACATGGTGGTGAGTACCTCTCTCGCTCTCTCTGTATTACTCTCTCTGTCTTTCTCTCTCTCTCGCTCTTTCTCTCGCTCTCGCTCTTTCTCTCGCTCTCCACTCGGTTATCTCTCCGCTCTCAGCTCTCTCTCGCTTTCTCTCGCTCCATGCTCTTTCTCCCACGCTCTCGCTCTTCTCTCCCTCTCTTGCTCTCTCGTCTCTCACTTCTTTACTCTCTGCTACTCGCTCTTTCTCTCCTCCCCCGCCCTTTTCTCTTCTCGCTCCTCCTCTTTCTCTCGCTCTCGCTCTTCTTCTCAGCTCTCGTCTGTCTCTCCCCTCTGCCTCTTCTTCCGCTCTCGCTCTTTCTCTCCGCTCTCCTGGCTATTCGTCCTTCCTCGCCTCGCAACTCTTTCTCTCGCTCTCGCTCTTCTCTCTCTGCTCTCTGCTCTTTCTCTCGCTCTCGCTCTTTCTCTCTCGCTCTGTCCGTCTCTTTCTCTCGCTCTCGCTCTTTCTTTCTCCGCTCTCGTCTCTCTCTCACTCTCTCCCCTCTCTGCCGCTGCTTGCTCTTCATTCTCTGCTCTCTCTCTCACCGTCACTCTCTCTCTCTCTGTCTTACTCTCTCTACCTTTGCTGGTGAGTACCTCTGTCTCCATTCGATCGATATACCCATTCATTCCAGGGAATTCCTATGCAACCAGTCGGGAACCCGCGAATTTTTATCCTTTCGTTTCTGGTTCTCGAGTTGGTGAAGCTGCAATATGGATGGTACTAATATCAGAGAGCGAGCTCTATTAAAAGATTAATTGTTTTAAAATGTGCGTCTCTATTAAAGATTTTAAATAGGAGAAAGAGGTATTTTTTTAAAAAAGAGTATCTTTTAAACCTAGCTAAAAACGACGATCATAGTGTGCACTCTCTTTCGCCATGGCAGTTTTTTTCTAAATTGACAATACACAGTACATTTTACGTGAAGTACTGATAGTAGAAAGAAAAAGATGGAACCCGAAATAGCGGAGATAACACAAAGTAAAAGCGAATGATTGATAGATATTTCACGGAACGTCAACTGCTATGGTAATTCTTCCAGTTAGTGTAGTGAATGTATTTATACGGCTCCGACCTGCACGTCATCATCGGGGCATTCTCTCTGAAGTTATCTCCGCCAGCCATGTTGGGTACCCTACCCAGAACAAGCTCTACATTCCCGACTGATCTCCCAACATGTGTGTAGTGTAGTGATGTAGTGCATGGAAGTGGGAGAATAGGACAAGGAAGACAAAGGATTGATCACGTGGGGTCATGGCCCGTTTGTACGTGTGCTGCTCCGGCCTTCGCCTTGTGTTGATGAGAGAAACCCTGCAAACCTATCAATCAGAGCAGCCAGATATTGGACATCTCCTCCAGCCACCGGCTGAACTCTGCCTCTTTACGTAGCAAGTGTTGAAAATCCACCGCCGTCGAGACTTGAACCTAGGACATCTTGTGAGAGTCGTTGCAGAGTGAGCATCAACGCTTGCTCGGAGGTAACTCAGCGGGAGAGACAGTGAAAACAGAAAGACAAACTAGTGCTGCTAAAATAGCTCGTACTGTCTCGCCCGTATTTTCACGCAAAATTACGCAAAAAATTAGGTTTTTGAAGGAATATGTGATCAGACGCATTCTGTTAAACGTCTTTCACACTATCCAATAACAAAATTTAATCGGAAACCATGGAGCCTTTTTATTTGAAAATTTGATAAATGTCCCATGAGTTTGATATAAAGTTCTTCCCAAATTAAAAATATCGGATTGAAATTCAAGGGGCCGTGACGTCACCCAGATCGATTGGGGGATATCAATTTTGGAGAAAATCGGTTGACTGGTATATCCGCTAGCGTTGTTCACAGGCAGACGTTTTGCCGTCAATAAGTTTTTTCGGTATCAAGATCCCACAAAAGAAGGATTCTGGCTACACCACGTGTTAAAGCACTAGATGTATCAACTTTTCCGTTACTAGGGCCGTGTAATAAGCGTTTTCTGGAAAATATTCCCCGTTTTTTTCGCGCAGCATTACATATCTTTCTCTCCACTCCACAGCGAGAAAGTAAAAAGAAGGGAAAACCCGGCATAACGCGCGATAACCGAGAGTAAAAGCGAATGACAGAAATGCATCTCGCTAGAGCGACCTCTTACGCTTTCTGTGAGGCGCGGCGCCGCAAAATACGCGGGAATAAGTTTTAGGGCAATTTCAGATATTAAAAAATCTCGCACGCCCCGCCCCGCCTCGCAGGTTTACGTGGAGGGTGAGGAGGGAAAAGGAGAAGGGGGCGACGGGGCGGAGGGGCTTTTGAATTTTCACTGCGCCCCAAACGGCCCATCAGTGGATGTTTATTTAAGCCCTCATATAAATTATGAGAGGGGCGCTGCCAAGGGTGAGTGGGCGTTGGAAGGGGGGAGGAGACGGGAGAGGGAGGGGCAGGGGCTGTCTAGCACCTGCTCCATCGCAGGAGACCGTCTTCTGTTCGGTGAGACTCTTCCCGTCTCGGAGCCTACGTAAAGAGAGATAACATAAGAACGGACTGCATTGACAGCTAATGCTTGACTACTGCTGGCAACGTAACTGCAGGTTATGTCATGCACTCAATTTTGGCCGTGTGTTCGTTAACAGCTCGTTTGTAAATGGTTTCGTCAGTGAGTCATCGCCCTGCACGACGTTCATTTGTACGTATCAGACGTACAAATCAGAGTATCGCAGATCAGCGCGTTTTTTGGCTAGTTGAGGTCGACAGCTAACGATCCTGACGGAGGCAAAGTGAAACTACGGATTGTAGCTACGGAAGTATATGGATTTGACTCTGAGCTGGAGAAAACTTTAAAAAAATGGTCGTGTTGTTTCTTGACATCGTGGTTTTATGTTCCTGTTATTTGAAGGGCATGACATTAAATATCACATAAAATTATATTGAGAAAACGTTTTAACGTGGTATTTGACGTGCATCGCGACGTATTTAATATATATCAACTGAATTCTTATACTTTTCCATCTTACATATTAATACAATTCTTATGTCAAAAGGAGTGCAGTGTGCTACAGTTAAAAGTAGAAATAGTAAAGGAACTATTGCTGTCTGTCCATTATTTACTGTCTTTATTACTTACCATTCTTGACATTTTCATGAAAAAGAAGTATTTTTACTTCTTCATGATTTCACTATTATCTTTCAATGGACAACATTAATTAGATTTAAATCATTTCTTTCCTTAAAAACTGTTTGAAATCAGTACTTCAAATAATGTTTTACTTATATTCATGAGGAAATTAAAACTCGTAAACATTTGCTTTTTGGTCAGATTTAGCAGAACGATAACCAATGGTAAGACGTCGGGCGTTCGCACATATTCGCGCGGATCGCTTCAGTATCTCACCAACACGTCTCAGGACAGCTGAGCTTCTGTATACATACAATATTATCGATACTTGCCAGGTCGATAGATAGGTCGAATACTGTTGCTGTCAGGGGGAGGATTCTAGCTTTCGTGGTTTCTCCCTACAACACGAAGCGAAAGCCGGAGCAGCTCCCTAACAAATGTACAGCACGCGATATTTCCTTCCTCTTCCTTGTCCTATCCTCACCCCTTACACTAACATTCCCTACACCACCACACATGCCGGGAGACCTTTCGGGAGCTTAGAACGTCTCCCGGCTGGGGCGGTGCCCCGCTGGTACCTGGTTCGGGGAAACCCCGCTAGGCGACAGTAGGTCGTCGCTGGATCTCACCCTCCAGCTGGAGAAAACCACCGCCACCTCCCACGTTAGTTGCACGCACTATACTTATGGGAGTAAATACTTTAGGCGTTGACGCGCCCGGAATCGCTAATCAATTAAGACTCTTTGAGACGGAGCCACTTACAGGGCAGCACCTAAACGGCGTTCCGGCCACTAATCCGTTCGGCGCCGCAGCGAAGTGGTGACTTCCGGCGGGGGGGGGGGGGGGACTCGCAGCGCCCGGTGGTGAGGCGCGGGCGGTGGTTTTATGAAGAGGGCGGCGCGGCGTCCAGCGGTGAAACGAGCAGAGTTTCGTTTTAGCGAGCGAGTGGCGGCCGCGGTGGAAGGCGGTCGAGGCCGGAGGCATAGGCGGCGGGGTCGGCCCGGTGGTAGGGACGGTGGAGGGCCGGTGGCGGGGTGGAGGCGGGGACGGGGTCGATGGTGGTGCGAATAGTTGCGGAGGTTTGGACGCGTGGCGGTGGCGTGGGCGATGGCGTGTGCGGTAAGCGGACTCCGGCGGCGGGGTCGAGCGGACGGTGGTAGGCGTAAAACGTGTTAGGGTGAAGGCGCGCAGCTACCGGGAAAGAGCAGAGTTCGTCGGGGGCGGGTGCCGCCGAGGTGGGGGACAGGGGTCGTATCGGATGGTAGGCCGGTGGACGGTGGCCAGGCGGCGATGGACGTGGTGCGTGTTGCGGAAGGGGGATGTAGGCGTGCAGTGGCATGAGGACGTGCGAGATGCCGGCGGGCGGGGGGCGGAGGAGGGGCGGGGCGGAACCGCCCGGCGTTTAGCGCGCTGCGTCGTGTACACGGCGTTTGCCGGCTCACTTACGGCGAGAGAGCGCCGTGGGGGGGTGGGGATGGCTTCCAGAAGAAGCTCCTGGCCCGCTCTGCAGCGCGGAGGCGGAGGATGTGCAAGCTCGGCGATGCAATGTTGCTCGCTTGATATAATTTCTCGGGCGCATCTCCGTTTTTTAAAAACTCCAAACTTTACGTTTAGAAGTAGCTCGAGCTTTCTACTTAACTCTTTTAGTAATTCTCTCTTGAAATCACGGGAGAGGGTGGCTCAGCGGCATCAACTTAGACTGGCAGTCCTAGGATTTCCACTCTCGACCGTGGCAGGAGGTTTCGACACTAGGTACATAGTTCGGTCGAGTTCTGTGTGATCTAGAGAATCTGGTGGTGGCTGCCCTGACAGCACGTCTCCCCCTTTGCTTCCCTCCCACCAATCATCATGGGAAAAGCGGGAGCAGTACCCTTACAAACGGGTCACGAAACATGCGCTATCTTTCCTTGTCTTTCCTTGTATTTCTTCTCTGCCCAACGTCACACTACCACACATGCAGGGAGAACACTGCGGGAGATTAGAGCTTGTCCTGACTGGAGGGAGATCCTAGATCTCCTGAACTTGCCTGCGATGTGAACTCGTCAGTGCATTATCGGGAGAGGACTGTTAATAAACGATATGTTTCTCAAGGCCCATTCGACAGAGTAAATACAACCATCTGAACAGACGTGTTATTAGGAAGTTGTGCCAAGATATTTCCCCAGGCAATATAGACTTTTTATGTATTCCTATAACACATGATTTCTAACCTAGTTCTACTCTACGAACAAGAAAACATTTTCGTGTTCGTATTCATTATGAGATGTATTTAGCGATTTCCCAGTCTCCTCTCTCGCTAAACCCACTCTCTCGCTTACGACTTATCACCTCCCATTTCAAAATAAACAGTTTAATACGGACATAATTCTTCTCATGCATTAAGACAAGCGCCATTTTTGAACTATACGAGCTAGTTTGAGTCGCGTCACGTCGCGTCAACGTCGCGTCACGTCGCGTCACGTCATGTCAACGTCATGTCACGTCATGTCACGTCATGTCACGTCATGTCACGTCAATGTCCACGTCATGTCACGTAATGGTCACGTCATGTCACGTCAGTCAGTCATGTCACGTCATGTCACGTCATGTCCCACGTCATGGCCACGTCATGCCACGTCAGTAGCTCACTGTCACTCGTCATTCGTCAGTCATGTCACGGTCATGTCACTCATGCCACGTCATGTCACGTCATTACGTCATGGTCACGATCATGTCAGTCGTCATGTCACGTCATGTCACGTCATGTCACGTCATTGGTCATGTCGTATTCCGTCAATGTCACGTTCATTGTACGATTCATCGTCAATGTCAGTCACGATGCACGTCATGCACGTTCAGTCACGTCATGTCACGTCATGTCACGTCATGTCACGTCATGTCACGTCATGTCAGTCATGTCATCATGTCACGTCAACTGTCACGTCATGTCACGTCATGTCACGTCATGTACGTCGCGCAACGTCTGTCACGTCATGTCACGTCATGGTCACGTCATGTCACATCACGTTCATGTCACGTCATGTCAGAGTCACGTCATGTTCGTACATTCCGTCATGTCACGTCAATGTCACGCATGTCACGCATGTCACGTCATGTCACGTCATGTCACGTCATGTCACGTCAATGTCACGTCATGTCACGGTCATGGTCACGGTCTGTCATCGTCATCCGTCATGTTCACGTCATGTTCACGTCATGTCACGTCACTGTCACGTCATGTCACTCGTCCGTCATGTCACGTCATGTCACGTTCATGTCACGTCATGTCAGCTCAGTTTCATTCAGTCCGTCATGTCCGTCATGTCGCGTCATGTCGGCGTCATGTCGGCGCTCATGTCGCGTCACGTCGCGTCATGTCGTCGTCATGTCGCGTCACGTGCGCGTCATGTCCGGCGTCAACGTCGCCGTCACCTCGTGTCGCGTTCAACGTCGGGGGGCGGGGTCACGCGGTCGCGTGCGTGCGCCTGCACGCCCACTGCACACTCTGCCACATTCACCGCAGCAGCACCATACTACACCCTGTGCATATGTCTATGTCTTTAGAAGGCAGAAACGCGAAACACGACACCGCTTCATTTCATGTCGTTGAGAGATACAGGGCGCGCTAAGCGCTAAAGCATGGGAGAATAATGTGAGAATGGACCGAGCGAATCCACGAGAGAGAGGGCTGCGGTTGCAGGCAATAAGACGTGACGTAACGCACGCCCTGAGGAAAGAGGCGCGTGTGTTATATGAAGAACGGAATTGCGCCGGACGTACATTGCAGGAACGCGCTCTCTTCAGCTTGATCGAGCGTGGAGATCACTAAGAGGAAAGAAAAAAGAGTGTGCTCACAACAGTCACATACTTTCTCGCATTATTTATAACTTTTGAAAATTTTTAAAATTCAGAAAGTTCTACGAATTATAGAGGAGCCTGCAGCCACTTATACTGTATACGGAGAAAAAGTTAGGCAAACAAATGAAAAGTATAGAGAAATCCGCTGAAATTCTGAGGTCACTTTCTCTGCTTAGTGTTTCGGTGGGGTGGGAGAGAATGGGTAATTGTCCAGAGAAAAATTCTCCAATTTATACATTTTTTAGAATTCGTATAGGCGTGTATTTTTTAATATATGAAATTTAGGGCATAAATGTATTTGAAATCCGTTAGTTTAAATATTGAAATTGTGTGTCAACTGGTAAATTATTTTAACTGTTGCAACTGAGTGTTTGAGTGATTCGGGGAGTGGTTGATCGAAAGAACGAATCATTTAATCAATCATGAGCGATGTGTGTGTGGAACGTGGAAAAACGTGTGGAACGGTGAGAAAAGTTGGGGGACAGTTACAGGGGGGCGGTTGTAAGAGTAGCTGTAAGGTGAGGCGTTTGAGCTGCTGGGCGCGACGCCGGTTCGGCATCCGCTTGCCGTGCTGCGCTGTGTGAATCGCCTGTGGTGTCGGGGGGGGGGCTGGAGGCGGCGGGTCAGAGCGGGGAGGCGTTCATAAGTTGACGGGCCGGCTTATTACGCTAAAACAGCTGCTTGCTATTTACCGCCGCCCGCCGGCGCCGGCGCGCCCTGCCCCATAAATGGATGCCACCCGCCCAGCCCCGGCCCGGACCGCATCTGCTACTATGCGCGCATCGACCCTACATCACGCGCCTCGCACCCCGTGAGATGCTGGTGGGCGGGGGCGGGAGTGGGCCGCGCTCGCAATCCCGCCCCTGCTCTCCAGGCGCACCTCCAGGGATGGCGAAGAAAACATCGATTATTTTGCACGCGGGAAATATCGATATAAATAAC